TTCGTGCGCACCGACAAGACTCCTCCTGACGGCAAACCTCCTGCCAGCGTCAAACACGGTAACACTGCCATCGACGGACCCAGCAGCAAGCAACGTAGAAATCTGTCCCGGCCCGCCCGCCGCCGTCGTAAAGCTCAGCGCCTCAATCGAATCCGACGCCGTCTGCAGCGCCGCCAGAATCTGTCCTCCGCCTACAACGTCCGACGCGCTCTTGCTCTTCCCGCCCTTGCCGGCCTGTGCAGAACTCGCCAGCCTAGGCAAACTCACGATGCGGATCGCGCCACCGGCACCACCAACAGCGACCAACGTGCCCTTGGGATCCACCGCGACGCTGTACAACCCGCCCTCGACCACGAAGCGCTGGTCCTCGGCCGTCAAGCTCACCGTCGTCTGGCCGTTGCTCTCCACCAGTCCCGCGGCCGCCGCCTCTCCCCAGACGTCCCACACATACAAGCTCGCGTCCTCGGAGACGGTGCACAGGAAGTTTCCGTCGGGCGTCCAGGCGCCCGCGGTGACGGGGGCCTGGTGAAGCCAGTACGTCTGCACGAGCTGCAGGCAGTTCGCGGGGTTACCGCCTCCCGCCGCGATATCGATGGTGTACACCCACACGGAGTTGTCGCTGGCGCCGATGGCGATGGTGTTGGGGTATTTGGGGCTCGGGCAGGCGGCGATCCAGTTGACCTCGGGGACCTCCTGCGCCTCGGCGATGAACTTGATCTGGACGCTCGCGGCCTCGGCGGTGGGGGAGTTTACGCGCAGGGCGTGGACGCGGAGCTTGCCATCCATGCCGCCGCTGACGAGGAAGTCGCCCTTGGGAAGGGTGAAGGCCAGGGCGTTGATGCTGTCCGTGTGGCCGTCGATCGGGTAGATGAACTGGAGCTCGGTGGACTGGGGTTGGGCGGCGTCGCCGGAGAAGGAGGCGGGCAGGACGGGGCGGGAGGCGGCGGCGGCGGTGGAGAGGAGGTAGCCCTTTCCGGGGGCGTCGTCTGCGTCGCCTTCGGAGCCGCCGGTGGCGATGAGGGTCGGGTGGACGGGGTGCTGGGCGATGGCGAAGACGGAGTCCTTGTGGGCGTCGAAGTAGGCGACCGAGTCGTTTTGGAGGTTGATTTCTTCGTTTTCGTCGTCAGAGTCCATGGGCATGTCCTCGTCGTCGACGTTGACTTCCTCGCCGACCTCGTCGGCCTCGAGCATCTCAGGCTCCGACTCGTGGCCGTCGTCTTGGGGTGTCTTTCCGTGAGGGGCCGACATCTTGTTTGTTTGTTTCGCTTGTGTTTGGGAATTGGGTCTTTTTCGTGTATCTTTCGAGTTGAGGTTTTCGCACTCTGGGACGTAATGCGCCGAATCCTCTTGATTCTTCTTTCGAGAAGAAAGATAAAAGGGTATGACGTAGAAAGGAACGCTGGGTATCGATCCCTTATTTATTGCAGAGACAACAAGGGCGCAGAAGCAGGAAGACGACGTTGCTTTATTAATCGTCAATCGAGGGTTCCGGGTGCTTGATAAGCAGGAATTGCGCTGCGCGGGTCGAATTTTTTTGCAGCTTTCTTGGATGGCGGGGTGGCGGGGTAATTCATTCGCAGGTTGACGGCCTCCACTGAAAACTGCAGGCGGTGAGCTCACCTAAGGTGGGAAGCCGGGGCCACCGGTTGCTGTAGCCCCCGGGATCATGGCGGTCGGTGTGACTCTTCACTGGCCATCGGCGGCACGGCGCTTGGCCCGGATGGATTCAATGTCCGTCACGGAGGTAAAGCGAATACATAATAGCTGCCTCATGTGGTTGGATTGCTGACCTCTCAAATATGCCCCAAAATCGTCTATCATAACCTTTTATCCGATCGTCGTGTAAACTGACTGCACAGTTTACACATCGAGGTACATAAGTTGCTTCAACTCACTCATCTTTCTCTCACTGCCTTCCTTCCTCTCACCTATAGGTACTAAGCGCAACGCCTCATTATGAAGACTTCAACTCATGCTTCTCTACTTCAGGATATCTTCTATCAACCTTACTCAACCATAGCATCACAACTGGACGTTGCCATGCCTCAAGGAGACGTCCCTTCATGAAAATCGGCCATCTAAACGCCCTGCACGCTGGAATGAAAATGAAGCCCTACTACAATGATATATCCATCTCAAATCAACTCCCTCCATTACGACTTACACTCTCCTCTATATACAATTCTCAGCATCTCATCGCCGCAGAGATCTTGATCGCGCCCATGACTACCGTCACCTCCGATCATTATCAGCAGGCAACTCCGTCGGTCCCTCCCCGCTAGCCAACTCTGCAGGCGGCTGGGGGTGCGTATACCCTTTGTATTGCGTGTGCCCTGCGCCTTGATGCTGGCCACCGGGGTTCATGAGGACCTTGTCGTTGTTGTAATACCCAGCCATATCTGTCCCAACCATTTCTGACGCAGGTGGCGATGCCTGGGGATATTGCCCATTATGCTGTTGCTGCGCGTACTGCTGATTCTGGTACGCGTACGCGCTCTGAGACCCCATGGCCGACGACCCATCCATCTCAGGTGCTGTGGGCGTCTCAGCGGGCTTCACGCCCGCGTACCGGTGCTTCCGCCGCCTCCACCACAAGAACAGGCCCACGAGCGCTGCTATCGCGACGACGGGGACGACGACTGCGACAGCGACGATGCCGCCCGTTGACAGACCACCTGAACTCGCTCCCGATGTGGCGGCGCCGGTCGCGCTGCCGCTGGTGTTGTCCGCTCCGGCCGCCGTTCCAGTCGCACTTGCACCCGATGTCGCACCGCTCCCTGCCGCCGCAGTCCCCGTTGCCGTTGCCGACGCGATTGATGCTCCCGAGGTCGTCTTGGGCACGAGATCGCTTGCCTGATACACCATCCTGATACCCCACGCGTTCACGCCATCACGGTCCGACATTGTAACAGCCTGCGTAGCCACCACACCATTGTCCGTCCGTGTAATATCAACGACCGTCGCGGGGCCCGCCATCCACGTGCAGAATTGTGTCTCCCACACGTTGGCAAGCGTCATGTCGTCCTCGACACACGATAGCGTCATATCTCCGCGGTATGGACAGCATGTAACGGTCGTGATAGAGCGCACACCGCCGTTGCGCGAGCACTGAGGTTGCGCGGTGTAGCCCGTCGGGCAGACGGTTCCGGGGGAATAGAAGGCCGTGCTGGCGCCGTTGAACTTGTTGGGTAGGCATTTCGAGTCATTGTCGATGGCGTAGACGTTGTTGGTGAGGTAGATGCCCGAGCAGGAGGACGCTGGTGGCGAGAAGTCGGCCGTTTTGAGCGGGTTTTCGGGAAAGGTTGACGCGATGAACGTCGTTTTTGTTGAGAGCGCCATTTCGAAATGAGTATATGTGGTGAACGGTCGTGAGAACTGGTGTCTAGATGCTTTCTGTCGACAGATGAATGAGCTCTGAGAGGTCGAGTTCGACTTCGACTTCGAGCCTGTCTTTGCCTACTCGTGTAAGACAAGACAAGGATGACCGCGTGTGGGTACTACTACACTGCGAGATCAAGGAACCTGAGATGAAGCGATTCGCAAACGACGGAAGGGGTCGCACTTGGTAAGTAATTGCAGTGAATGGCAGGCAAAAAGATAGAACAGAGGGAAAACGGGACACGATCAGCAGGGAGCCAGGGAAGCACTCGCTTTTCACAGAATCCTTCGTGCTCATCCATTTCTCAGCTCACACTCTCGCACTCACACGCCCCCTTCTGGGTCATCCCGTCCAGTCCGCGTCAACCAGTCAGACGGCGCCAATCCGACACCGCAACCGATGAACCCCATGTCTGGAACCTTGGAGTCCCTGAAGTCCCATCGCACGAGACGGTGGTGGGTGGAAAGAGAAGGGCAGCATCCGTAAGGATTCAGACGGGCTGGGGCGGTACAAGCAGGGGGGGGAGGGGCCAAGCATCTCAGGTACTGCAGGCAGCCAAATAACAGGTACCAGCAGTCTAGCACACCACCGCTTGGGAGGTAAGAAGAAAAAAAAGTTCATAAATTTGGATGTGACGCTAGGAAGAAGGGGGAATAGTTTAAAATGGCGCTGAACTGGAGCCAAGCGAAATCTCCATCGTCGCGCAGGCAGGCGCTGGGGGGAGTCTGTGAGGTGCCTTCGCGAATCCTTCGGCAGGGATCTGATGGCCGGGGGCTGAGCCAGCGGGCGTGTCTGCATCCGTGATCTGTGCCATGTTCAGTGTCTCGAATCTCTCGATCTAGACCTGCTGTTGTCGATGACAAACGTTCTGATAGATGTGCTGAGGCTGATAAGATGCTTCGGTGGTGTCTTGTAGAGGAGAAGGTGAAGCAGATTTGTTTGTAGGGGGACAGAAAGATGAGATGGCAACTGCTTCCCGTCCCCTTGTAAATACCCACAGAAATTGAAGCTGTTAGCTCATCCGTCAGATTTTGGCTCATTGGCTCTAGTGCGTGAGCACGGAAAATGAAATGAACCTTGGAAGGGATCCAGTGGTGGGTTTCTTTCCCAGTCATCCGGTTTCCGTGGCAGAATATCGAATGAACGAGACGCGCCCCGGCTTCTCCTTACCTTGTCCTCAATCATCCTTCGAATATGGTGATGCCGCGCAAATGATCGGATGCTTTCCCCATGTGTTCTTCCCGATGTATCTGTGCATTGTAGATTTTGGTGAATAAACCCGACAGGATGGTGCCGTTGGAAATGGCAGGTACTTGTTCCAAACCCCCACGACGGCGCCCCGGGCCGCAACGTTCTAAATCTTGGAGCCCTACTCCGCATCGTGAGCCTTACTAGAACCATAGTTTGACTCCAACAACTGGCAAGGGCTGCGATGCAACAATTGTAGAACATCAAGCCGCGCGTATTGAAAGCGATCCTGTAGTTGCAAACTATTCTGAACTCTTCGTCATGTTGCCTCATGACCTCGAAACCTGAATTGGCCCTCAACCCTTGAAGCTTTACGCGCTCCCTGAGGTTGCCGTCTCGTCCACCCTGGGGAAGCTGAGTCCCCCCTCCCTTCTTACACTTGCCCTTCTCTGTGTTTTGCCAAAGCATCGTCCTTTTCCTTCCTGTATAATTTCAAGCCGCAAAACCTTCGCCGCGGTCCTTTATCCGTAACATCTTCCTTGCGTTCAGCGTTCGTTTCTTCGGTTGATTTTCCTTCCGCACTTGCTTCACGTCCACGCCCAAGAGACGCCCCGTTGATCTTTTGCCGCCCCCGCCTGGTCAGCTCTTTGGCGTTGACCTTTCCGACAATGAGAATGAGAATTATCAATGTACCCAAAAGGGACGGCCTATCGATCTTCTGCCGCCCCCACCTCATCAGCTTCTCCCGAATTTGCCGGCTGTTTCCATACTTGGCATTAACCTTTGCGACAGAAAGAATTATCAATAGACCCAGGATGAATACTCCAATAAATAGTCCAAACATTCCACCGACAGTTTGTGCATCAGGCGTCCCGCTCATGCTGAACATGCCTGTCGCAAACCCCAGAGGCAAGAATATGGCAGTTGTGTATGTGAAAATCTTGACATCCTTATTGTTCTGTCGGCTTTCTTCATTCGAGATACTCTCGAGACCGCTGCTAACGTACTCGAGCTCTTTCGTAATTGACTCTGCAAGGATAGAAATTCCCTTGAGGTTGCGATCCAGATCTTGGATAGCCCGCTGGTTTACGACAAGCAACTTGTTCAGGGTCGACCTGTAGCGACTCTCGTCGCTGAACGTCCACCGGGGCTGTTCGGCTTGACGATCCTTCTCTCGATTAAGCCAATGGTGGCTGATGGGTCTGGCTTTTGCGAAATCTCCGTGTATCATCTGCAAACGTTCCTGGAACTTGCGAAACTCATTGCTGGTGATGACGAAGCTATTGTAGTCGATACGACCACCGTCATCTGGGGTCGGACCGCCTTGTTCGTGCTTGAACATTTGAGACCCTTGGAGCCTTTGAAGCCTTTGTTCCAACTTGGCTTTCTGTTCCAGCACAGTGCTTTCAGCCAATTCCAAGATATGGCCCGCGCTCGTAGCCATTTCGCTGATGATGTGTCCGAACAATATCAATTCGAGTACTCTCCGTTGTTCCCAAGGACCGGTCCTGATTTCCAAAGTGTAGTGAGTATCTCCGTCGTGGTCTTGCTCCAGCAACTTGATCAAGTCACTTTTGACTTCGTACTTGCTAGCTGGCAAATGAGGATTTGCCACCACAAACCGGCAGGTCCAATATTTGTCGAAAAAGTCGCCCTCGAACCGGAATCCCATTCCTATCTTTTCAAGTTTATTTCCACGCCAAAAACTTTCTTCCTCAACACCAGAGTAAAAGGCCATTTGGAACTCAGTTGTCCAAATGTTCAGCGATGCTATCGTTTCCTCGTTGAAAAAGTTGCTGCTGCTCTTGTGTCTGTCAAAGAACTGTTCCATCTCTCTTTGTTCACGTTCTTCGTTTGGAGACAACGTCTTGGTGCAGCTCGAATTTTCCTCCGCATTTGTCGAAATGAAAGCCCACAGCCTCTTTTTGGCATCTTGGGCTTTCCTTTGGGACTTGACAGCTACCTCAAACAAGTCCTCCTCGCCCTGCGGGTAGTAATCAACTCTGAAAGACGACGACGGCCGCGTCTCCTTGAGTGGCCTACGCTCCTGGATGTCAATCTTGAGTTGAACGTACGCGAGGATGACCTTTGCCGATTTCGAAGTCTCTGTATTGATATCGGCAACTGATCCGTTTTCCATGTCGACATTGGCCATGGCCTTTGTGTTGACGAAGAAATCAGGTTCGTTGTACAACCACTCGTCCTGCAACTCCACGACATTGTTGTCGTCTATTACGTTGTTGAAGGGGAGGTTGTGTTTCATCCAGTAGCCGTAACGATATCTTGGCCCCGTTGTCTCTGTCGGATGAACTGTTACATCTCCCAAATGTTTCGAGATCCTTTCGATAGACGAGCATATATGCTTGAGGCAGCTGTCTGTGGACTTCGACATCCGTTTCCTGTCATCGTCGAGATCCCCACCAGGCAGGGGGCAGTAGTCTTTCCACAAAATGTACGGAACTTCGAAGACCACTGTCCAATAGTTGTCTCTGTCTCTCTCGTCCTCGTACATGACTGGACTTTGTCGTTCATCGAGTTCCCCTGTGAAAAGTCCGTTGGAAGAGGAGGTACTGAGTAGAATTGATAACGCTTTCTCGGTCAACTCCATTCTGGTACGAAAGTTGATGAGTGTTCCATGCCGGGCCATGGTAATAGCTAGAGCGAATCTTCGCGGATCACTCCAGTCAGTGTCGTCATTTCCTTCATGATGTTTTTGGCTGTCAAGGGTATTCGTCCACTGAATATCAGCCTGCACAAACAAGCCTTCTTCCATCGCGCGGAAAAGAGCAACGTCTTTTGAGCGGAACATAAATCGGGTTTGAGTAGGACTCCGCTTCACGGCGATCATTCTCTGTTTCAAAAGAGAATTCTCAGTCGTGAATCTCTTGACAATGTTTTCCCGCAACCTATCTGCCGAATATCTTCCTGCAAATTGATTCTGAGGATCACCCTCACGCACAAGGTGAAGGCTCATTGATTCTGCGGCTCTTGCTGCTTGCCAAATGAGAGCATGGTCTGTGAGATAGAATGTCTTGGTTGGTTTCCCATCGTCGCTGTCCTTGTAGGAGGGGAACGCGTATTTTCCAGACTTCTCGATCTCCCCCAGGTGACTGATCCATTTCTTGTACACAGTCCTCGCCTTGTTCAGCAGGTTTTCTGGCATGCCCCCTTTGAAACGCTTGTAAAAGTCCGCCGCTTTGATAAATTGGAAAGGGGTGTCAATGAGGGACTTTCCCGGAAGCCATTCATTGGTTTCCCAGCCCTCGATTTCGTCACCATTGGTCCAATAATTAGGGCAGAATAGGCCCTTGGGCTTGGCTGCTCTCTGAAAGACCCATTTCATATGGCCTTTGCATATGTCCTCGATCCGCCTCTTCATCATGCAGACATAAGGCAGTAGAGGCCTCTGATCATTATTACAGGTGCAGGCAGGCGGTTTTTCAGATCCTGAATGCAAGGTTTTGAAGTGATCAAAACCAAGGAGTAGGAATTGGAAAGCATAGCTTGGTCAAAGAGTCAGTACGTGAGACACTACGAGGACCCCACAGAACTTACAAGCTCGCTGCAGTTGCTACTCGATGACCATCAACATCACCGCACGTGAGAGCATAAGCCGGTATTCCATCTGGATCTGCTTCAGACACAGGAATACTACAGACAGATAGAATGTACTCCAGCTGCCTTTTGAGAAAAAGGTCGAGAGTGGGATTGGCAGTCAATGACACCGTTTCGCAACGCCGAAGAAGCCCGTCAGCTTTGCCAAACATCTCCCAATCCGGCAAACGAGATTTAGGCTCCGAAGCTTCGGGGCCTTGTCTGAGAGTGTATGCCAGAACAATCTTCAAGACTGGTTTTCCGGAGCCCTTGCCATTTTTCCGAATGCCGTAGCAAGTGCTCTGATCTTTCTTGAAGAACTCAACCTCGCCGTGTTCATCCAAGACTTGCAAGTGGAGGACGAAATGCTTGTTGTGACTTATGTGCTCGCGCAGAATATGCCTCCCCGCGTCAGCCCCTCCAGTCTTGTAAACGCTCACAACCCGGCCATAAAGAAATCCCGATGGACCCTTGTTGAAGGAATTATCCTCGTTGACGAAGTCGAGATCCCGGATGAGGAGTACTGATGGGTCCAGCGTCAGAGCATCCCACTCGTCGTCTTTGGCGGCTCTGAATTCCGACAGGCTTTCCCGTTTGTCAATGATCTCGAATTTTTGGTAGATTGTACCTTTGAATGCTACATACGAAACATGCAGCTTGTTTGAAGTATCGCATGTCATCGTTCTGGTAAAGGTAGGCCATCGATCATTGATAATGTCGCGCTTAGACTTTCTTTCTGAGCACAAGAGGTCGAACCGGGGACCGATTCCTCCGGGATTTTCGTTGAGAGACCTTTCGAGAAACTGTTTCAGACGCCAAGAAACGTAATATGGCTCATCCATACCATTATCGTCTACACAGACTCCTGTCTTCTGTCCGGGGAAATGTTGAGTGATCCGGAGCAATTGCCCAGTTGCACCCACACTCGCTGTGAGACCTTCGTCTCCAAAAGAGAAGAAGCTGTCACGCGCCATACCCTTCTCAGCAGCTTCTGTGATTCGACCAGGTAGCTCATTCAACTGTCTGAATGCCATTGTTGATACACCTTCAAGCAAGCATAATGAAGTAATGGGGACAAGATACCGAGTGAAATTTGATTAGGAGGAAGTTGCGACAATGAGAAGAGGAACAATCTGCATGTGCAATTCATGGGTAGCAAGCTGAGCAGAATAGGCCCCTTCGACGAGTTTGAAAGGCCCTTTTCTTCAGTATAAACTGCCTCTGTTCGCTCTCATATCCCATTCAAGACTAGGTAGATGTGGGTTCCGAAATATTGCTTCAGCTCGCCAAGCTACGCTGCATCGCGCCTGCATATATGGAGCCAGGATTCACCAGAAGAATGAAACATTTTGTCGGATAGTTCCATGCGCATCTAAAGGGATATATGATGTATGATATGTCTCGGGTTGAGAAATCGCTCAGAGAAAGCACGAAGTTTGATGACTTGTGCATGAAAATAGGGACACTTCAAGCCTCAAAGTTGAGAAGTATTCTAGCTTTTGATACCAATACGTGAACGACCGATTCAGCGAGTGACTATTTCCCTGTGTTCCATAAACTTACGATGATGAACATATCACAGAACCCTAGGCCTTCTAGCCACTTGCACTCCCAAGTAACATCAAATAGTTCAGGCAGTGGTGACAAGTTATGCTTCTACTATCACTATGTATCACCGGTCACCTCCATTATATGCTACCGGAGGTGGATTAGGCATGTCGTGGTACAGGAGGTACGTCAAGGGGTTCAAAATTTCTCCAGGAATCGCTCAGGTCGATCTGTTCTGCGGAATGTTTGATGGTGAAGTGCTGAATGGTGAAGCCAATGAATGACTGCTTTCTCATAAATCCCATTTCATTATCAAAAGGTCCAGGTTCCACATGACTATGTGGACGGACCGTATAGAAAATACTGTGATATCATGCTCCAACCCGCACTTCACTCTTCCAGTTCGTTTTGCCTCGCTCTGTTCGGGTTGATTTCCCCTTTGAGACCTACCCGCATGAGCATGCGTATTGTATGCGATAGCTATTAGTGAGGCTGAAAATGTGATCCGCGATCGCCCAATCAGTCTCCACCTTTGTGCGTGTGAAAGGATAGAAGAAGAAAAGAAAACCAATAAGTGCCCGGTAACTCCGGTCATATCCGCGGCTAGCTGAGGATCTTCTAGGTGATTAGCTGCCTCGATGTTCAATGGTCTAATCCTGGTTCCTTCCATTGTCCCCCATTTTGCTGTTCACTTATTGCGATAATGTCGTTCAGGTACGCTAGATCACCTGCCGCCTTGAAACGGTGCAACTCATGATTCTCAGCTTCATCAAACTAGCTCGCGTTGCATCTCAGGCGCTAGGCAAGTGCCTCCAATTGAGCAGACGACATGTAATGAACACACGTCGTTTAGAGATACATCAACAAAAAAGCGGCGGTCGAGTAAGGTCTCTATTGAATAGCACTGACCAAAAAAACCAACACATACTGGATGCTATCCTGATTTTGTCCCTTGTACGTTCAGTTCAAAGTTTCTCAAGCCATCGATTACTTACCCAAACTTTGACTCCTCGTCAGTAACAATCTCGACCTCTTTCTCGACGACCAGATTCTCCAATATGGTCAGGTAACCGACGCTTGATCCAGCAGCCGATATTTGGAATTTCGCTTGCTTCCGCTCAAGACCCTAGGAAGTGACGGTCTCTGTGCAAGTTTGACAATGGAGAAGGTACTGAACTCACTTCCAACTTGAATGAACTTGGCCCCTGTTGTAGCATACAGATGAGCAGATTCGAACAGCCTATGGTCGTTGCCGACATTATCAACGGTAAGATCGAACATGGCACCATCTTGCTGGAGGAGATCGACCAACTCGCCCTGAGTGTGGTCCATGACGCGCACACCGGCCTTCTCGCCAGAATGTCTTCAGCTTGGTGGTCTATGGGCCTGTTGCACTGGTTCAGTTGTGAGGGCGAATAGTCGTGCTCTTGACGTCATCGCTGTCGTTCAAATGATTACATTTGTGTCTTTCTCTTGGCAAATTCGTGGCAATGGTATCCATCAACCCTCACGAAGTCACACATCTAGCGGAAGCTACCAAAATAAACGAATCAAAGTCTTCCCTGTCATCAAACGTGTCAAGCTACAACTCCAAAGACACAAACTCCTCCTCTTGGCCCTGAACCATCACCTCCACACCACCCTTCACAGCCTTCCCAAAATCCCCAGACAACCAGTTCCTCACCATCTGCAACCCAATTTCAGGCTGATCCAACGGCACCATATGCCCCGACCCCGCAACAGTCACAAACGCAAGCCTCGTCTCCTTGCCCCCCCTCATCTTCTTAGAAACCTGCTTCCACATACCCGCCTTGACCGTCTGCCCTCCCTTCTTCACCGCAAACCACGGCTCGAGCTCCTTAGCAACAAACTCAACCTGCCCAGCCCACGACAGCTTGTTGGTCCACCGCACGTTACCAGCCGTGTTGCACGCGAGGTCCAAGTCGCCGTTGTACACCAGCACGTCGACCCCATTCTCGAGGATGTACTTGACATCCTTCTCGGTGCTCAAAAACACATCACCCGCAAGCTCGAACCGCTCGTTGACGTCCATGGAAATGAGACTAAAGTTCTTACCCACCGCCTCCGGAACCTCGAGCGCGGCAAGCACCCGCTCCGTCTTGATGTACTTCTCAATCCCATCCCCGGCGCCGTAGCAGATGTTCTCCGTCTCGCACGGCCGCGTGATATCAAACGGATTCCGTCCGCCGGCCTTGACATCCTGGTAATACAGCAGATCCACGTGCCCGAAGCAGAAGTCCGTCGCGGCGCCGCAGACGATGGGGTCCGGGAAGGCGTAGCATGCCTGCTGGAGGTACATGCACCGCGGCAGCGCATCCGCAATCAACCCACACATGCTCTCATTGAACACGGGCTCCGGGACGCCGGGCTTGGTGGTGCAGAGGGTATCGTAGAAGCCCCACGTCGTGTCGGCAGGCGAGACGTAGCCGTTCCCGATGAGCACCGACGCCAGCGGGACTTTGAAGTCCGGAGGCGGGGATCCCGTGTTGTAGGAGACGATCTCGGCCGCGAGGGCCGGGATGTAGTGCCCGCCGTAGCTCTCGCCTACGATGTGGAAGGGCGCAGTGGCGAGACCGGGGAAGGCTTGGTAGAAGATGCGGAGGAAGATGTTCATGTCCTCAGCGGCGGTGTAGGACGTCGCGGGCGGGGTGACGTCCTCGTCGAAGTAGGAGAGCCCCGTACCGGCGGGCTGGTCGACGAAGATCATGGAGGTGTTTGCGTTCCAGGCGTAGGGGTTGTGTACTGTGCCTGTGCCGTTGTCGTTGATGAGGCAGGGGCCGAGTTCCAGCATGAGGCCTACGAGACCGCTGCCGCCTGGCCCGCCAGTCATCCAGAGACTGAGGGGGTCATTCTCGGGATCGTTGAGACTCTCGAAATACCCTATCAGTGTCGCTTTAGTCGCGCGTTCACTTCCAATGTATTGGGCGCATTTCACTCACAAAAGAAGAGGTGCTTTCCACCGGTGTCTAGCCACCCAGTCCACTGCCTCGATCCCGCGTTACAAATCTCATCGCTCTGCTCCTTGATACGAATGGCGTGGTGCGGGTGCTCCGGCACCGAAAGGGTGGTGAAGTCGGGCGACTCGATGTCTGCCTGCGTCGCGACCGCGGAGGCGAAACGAGTGAGGAGCGCGAGTCCGGAGACTGCTAAAGTCGTAATCCGGACCATCTTGGCTTACTTGTGAGCCAGGACACGCTCAATTGATGAAAGTCCGCGACAATCAACTGACGAGAGACGATGGAGTGAGATATGAGATGAGGGTGAGTAAGGTGAGCTCACAGGTGATGAGCCGTAGTTCTGGGGGAGTTTTGAGGTGGGAACCTGGAAGGTTACGGCGTCCTGATCAGGAAGGCCGGACCGCCGAGTGGGGTCGGCTCGGTGTACCGGGGAACACAAAGTCTTTTGAATCTTCGGGTCACCACTGCATGTAAGCCGACCGCCAAGAAGCTCATGGCTACGACGGAAAGTTATCAGTCAGATCAGACACCGATGAAAATGTTCCCCGCGGTTTGTTCAATCGGAGCAAGAATGCACTCTTGATGACGAAACACCTTCAGGCTACTTGCTCAATTCACGAAGAATTGATTTTGCCTAAGGCGGGACACTGTCTAAAAACTCCGCAGTAGAGCCGAAGAGAATGAACGTAAGCCGTTGGAAAGCTTCTTCTGGGTTTGATTCTATCAAAAGATGAAGAGGGTGGAAAGGCGATCATAATGGCACACATCTTTCCAAACATCACCAAACACTTCAAGTTGAACTTATCAATATCAATATTTTTCCCGGCTAGAAATGCCAGCCTAGGTACCTAGATAACCAAAACCAAATTCGCACGCCCGATAATGCAATAGCCCCAACAAAACAACCATTTTCGTTGTTTTGTTGTTAAAACTCCCCGGTGGCCCATGTCTCCGGCCCCATAAACCCGCCCGCACATTCATATATAGTAAACATGAAGGTGTATGTGTATTCCCTGTTGAAATCGTAGGAACTCAAATCCCCGCTTGCTAAGAGATGATTGGAAAAATGTTGAAGGATGTCAAGGAACAAGAGGAATGTCAGCAGGTTAGATGCCCTGTCTGAGATCGCCTAGCCGTTCCCGTGTTGAAGACATAAAAGCTGTCATGCAGGCACAAATCTATGGTCTGCTGGTATCATGTCTATCGGATGCAAAATCATCGATTTACTCTGCTGTGGTATCCTCGACAGGAGGGCACGTGCAGAACAGGTGAGTGTCACCGTATGCTATACTCTGTTAGTAAAGATTCCAATATCAATCTGGAAAGGGACAAAGCTTACTGTCGTCAACACGAGCCACGCTAGGCCAGAACTTCTTCTCCTTGAGGTGAGGCAGGGGGTACGCAGCCTTCTCGCGGGAGTAAGGACGGTCCCACTTGCCCTCGCCGTCACCCAAGATGACGTCCATCTGGGAGTGAGGCGCCATGCGGAGAACGTTACCCTCACGAGGCTGCTTGCCCTCCTCGACCTCGCGAATCTCCTCGCGAATGCTGATGAGGGCGTCGACGAAGCGGTCGAGCTCCTCCTTGCTCTCACTCTCCGTAGGCTCAATCATGAGTGTGTTGGCAACGGGGAAGCTCATGGTCGGGGCGTGGAAGCCGTAGTCCTGGAGACGCTTGGCAATGTCAATGGCCTCGACGCCGGCGGTGGCGATGAAGGGACGGGCATCGAGGATGAACTCGTGCGCGCAGCGGCCGTTCTCGTTGGTGTAGAGGATCTTGTAATGAGGCTTGAGGCGGGCGAGGATGTAGTTGGCGTTGAGGATGGCGGTCTTGGTGGCGAGACGGAGACCGTCGTTGCCCATCAGTGCGTTGTAAGCCCAGCTGATGGGGAGGATACCGGCGCTGCCAAAGGGGGCGCTGGAAACCATGGCCTGGTCGGCGTCGTGGGCGAGACCGGGCAGGAAGGGAGCGAGGTGCTCCTTGACGCAAATGGGTCCGACACCGGGGCCACCACCGCCGTGGGGAATGCAGAAGGTCTTGTGGAGGTTGAGATGGCAGACGTCGGCGCCGATCTCGCCGGGCGAGGCGATACCGATCTGGGCGTTCATGTTGGCACCGTCCATGTAGACCTGACCGCCGTACTTGTGGACGAGCTCACAAGCCTTCTTCACAGCGGGCTCGTAGACACCGTAGGTGCTAGGGTAGGTGACCATGAAGGCACCCAGCTCCTCGGCGTGCTTCTTGCACTTAGCCTCCAAGTCCTCGATGTCAAGGTTACCGGTCTTCTGGTCGCACTTGATGGGAACGACACGCATGCCGGCCATGGCAGCGGATGCAGGGTTGGTGCCGTGGGCGGAAACGGGAATCAAGCAAATGTCACGCTTCTGACCTCCGGGCTGGGAGAGGAGATGCTTGCGGATGGCCTGGAGACCGGCAAACTCACCCTGAGCGCCAGAGTTGGGCTGCAGAGAGACAGCATCCATGGATGTGATACCCTTCAGCTGGTCAGAGAGACTCTCAATCAAGGCGGTGTAGCCCGGGAGCTCGCTTGCGGGCGTGTGAGGGTGGATGGTGGAGAATCCGGGGAGGGTGATCAGAGCCATCTCCGTCGCGCCGTTCAACTTCATGGTGCAGGATCCGAGAGGGATCATGGAGTGAACAAGAGACAGATCCTTGGACTGGAGGTAGTGAATGTAACGGAGGATCTCGGTCTCACTGCGGTGAGTGTTGAAGACGGGGTGAGTGAGGTACGCGGATTGGCGGCGAAGAGTAGCGGGAAGGAGCTCGGTGATGTCCTGGGTGAGAGCACCGTAGGCCTTGTTCGCAACCTCTGCGGTCTGGGTACCGGTAGCGCTGCCGAGGACGGCGGCAATGGACTTGAACACCTCCTCGGTGACGTGCTCGTTGACGCTGATGCCAATATCACCGTTTCCAAAATCGCGGAAGCCCAGACCAGCCTTCTTGGCCTCGGCCAGGATCTTCTGAGAACGGTCACTGGCCTTGATGACGACGGTGTCGAACAGAACCTTGCCATCAGGGCTGGCGCCGCTCTGCTCGGTCTCCAGACCCGAGGCCTCGGCAACGGCCTGGACTCCACGGGCAAGACGAACCAATCTCGAGGCAATCTCCTTCAGGCCCTCGGGTCCGTGGTAAACGGCAAACAGGGCAGCCATGTTGGCCAAAAGAGCCTGAGCAGTGCAGACGTTGCTGGTTGCCTTCTCACGACGAATGTGCTGCTCACGGGTCTGCAGAGCCAGTCTCAAGGCACGGTTGCCGTTTCGGTCCTTGGAGACACCGACCAAGCGACCGGGCATGCGGCGCTTGTGGGCCTCCTTTACGGCAAAGAAGGCGGCG